CAAAAAATATTATCTAAAATAAATCTACGAGTTGAACGAATTAGCTGAATGAGCGATCGCATCGTTAGCACAGCACGTTGTCACCCTGCATTCTGGATAATAAATTAATTTCTACGCTCGCGAATGCAGGGTTAAATAGTGTTCTCACATTCGAGCCAGTAGATAACGTGCACGTATGGACCTAGATGCAGCACGTGTGCATCGTCTAACGATGTTCTGGAATTTCCTTCTATCTGCATGAAAGGCAGACGCCTAACCATGAATTATCGACGATTTATGTACAAACGTGAGAAGAGTCTCGTGCAACGAAATTGAATAATTTATACGGCAAAGGAGCAAGATAATTGGCACGGGGTTAAACTTTTCTCGCGAATTCTGCGTGAATTTTGCAAATATCCTTCTACGTTCCGATTTTTTGTTTGGGTGTGTAACTTTCAGAAATTCTATGTTATTCGGATGTATAATTCTTCACACATTCGAAACAATTGCCAGGGGGAATTTTTATGAATATACATGTACACGTATGTATGTTGCACGAAACTTTTTAGCAAGACATAAATATTGAGAAAACTTGAAGCCTACTTTGAATGTAGAAAGACACAAATCACAAGTTTATTTGCTGAAAATGTAATAAAAAGTTACTGTGATAAAGCTACGAACTCGCTAAATATTGTAGTTCATTGATGTAATGCCTGCGTTAAATATCTTATAACTTTCACACACACATTCTCAACCTTGATTCAAAACCAATATATATTGTGACTTCAGATAAAACTAATGTGTATATATCGTATGTAGAATTCTGAATATTTTTTATAAAGTATCTGCTTGAAATGAAGTTATTATAGAAGTTATATAAATTTTTCTACCGTTTTTAATAATAATGAATTACGATACTATTTGAGTTTAAACAATTGTGTATTTTACAAATTTGCACCGAATTTTTACAGGAAAGAATAAAATTTAGTTTGTTTCAAATTTATCGCTCATGAAATATAGACTATCGTTTCTTTATTACCTGAGAAAGAAGTATCATAACGTATTGAAAACATCTGAAATTAATCGTACTTCATTCACTCGCATTTCCTTCTGTCTTAACCATTTCGTAGACAACAAGAATTTATTATTCTCATATCGGAAAATATATTCCTGTTTCTACAATATATACTACCATATACAAAGTATATTTTGTAATTAGAAAAAAGAATATCTTTTTTTTTACATGAAAAAATAAATTAAAAATGTAGAATGAAATTACGAATTTTTAGTTAAAAATTATGTTTAACCTAATTTTGTTCAAATTTAGGAGTCATAAAATTAATTGTGTATACTGAGAAATTACAAATATCGAGTAATATTAAAAGACTATTTTATAAATGTTTCAACATTTGATCAATCACCGGAACATAAAAGAATATAAAGAATATAAAGGACAAAATTGTATATGATATTTCTTTCAAAATAAATGATTCATAAAATTAATTTGTCCACCATTTTTATCCAATATACTTTTTTCTGCCTTCACGAAATGGTTAATTTCTGTGAAGTTACAACTTTGACAAATATGACGTCTCTTGTCGGATAGAAGTTTTCGGTGACGTTCCATACAGACGAAAATCTTTCTATTCCTTTGTACAGGGTGTCCCGTAACTGATGGTATCACTAGCTATGGGACACCCTGTATATTAGACAGCATCAGTATATAAGTACATACCCCTTGTTCCAACATGTATTCTCAAAAGGGCCATAAGTCACAAGTCACGGAGCTGAATGCCACTACTACTTTGAATTACGTTGGCAAGCGTGCGGTGGACGCATGGAATCGAGTGTCGCGTACGCTTCAAAACAAAAACAATGCCCGCGCCTAACTCTCGAGAAATGCCATTGTACCAGGGGAGTAACAAGTGCAATCCTGGCCGCTCGATCGAGGATCTTTTTCCTCTCGAAAGCCGACAGTTTCGAGTATAGTAACGAAAACAATACTAGTTGTGTGACAATCGGGAGACTCTGACACAATTCGCGACGCCATTTGTTTCCCACTACCTTGTCGATAGTTCGATAGTTCGATTCTTGATCGATAGAAGTTACACCGATTGCCCCCGTAACTTGCGAGATTGAGTACAAGTCAAACTGTTCGACTTCACGCTCAACTTATCAATTCAAATTTCCCGAAACGATCTGTCTTAACACTAGAATTATCGAGATAGAATATGATATAAATATAAAACAGTATATTTTTAATGATTTAAATGATTTTTCAGAAAATACATAATATACATAAAAGCTTGTGTATTTTATCGTATTTTACAGTTTTTCTATTTTTTTTTCCTCTTTAATGTCTCTGATGAAAATTCTACGCTTTAGTCCTTATTTTATTCATTCTTAACCATTATCCTTAACCTTATCTTATCCATTCATAACCTAGACCTGATCCATTTAACTTTTGTACGACTCGAATATCGTAATCGATATTTCTACGATCGATATTTCTATCGTAATCGATCGTTTCTACGTATATTATTGAGCCATGACTCATAGATATCGAGTGAAAAATTCGAATGAAACAACGATCGTTGAGCTAAAAATACATCAGATAAATGAAAAATACTTTTTAACCGATCAAATGATATAAAATTTTTTTTTCATATCCTGAAGTATCTCCATTCACGATTAGTAGATAAAATAGAAACAGGAATGAGAACTGAAGATAATTACGTATGCAACAATAAATATGCGTCGTTGTATTTGAATTTGTTTCAAGCTACAGTATTGTAGCCAAATCTCGTTTGGGATCAATATTCTAGTTTAGATGTTAATAATTATAATATAGATCATATAAATGAAAATCATGTAAAACAGTCGCGTACCTTTACGACCTATCGTTTATTGATGTTATTTTTACGCGACTGCATTTACAGATTAGAAAGCACAGTCCCGTTAACATTGGAGCAACCGGCTTTTAATGTTTCAAAATATATTGTACAAAGTTAATTAGAACTTTAGCGAATTAAAATAACAAAAATTAATAGATATATGCAATCGTGTTTTCGTTTCGACACTTGAACATCAATATTACCAACAACACTTGCGTGTTTATAGTAAATGTACGAATTTTGACCTGCGAATTGTATTTTGACAGGTTTAGTGATTCTAGGTTAAGACGTTCATCTCAGCGACGAATTCGTATACGATACAACCAAATCACCAATTCAATTCACGAAAAGTCAAACACGCTGCTGTATTGAAATCGCTCACCTTTTCTATGATATTTTGCACGCTGGAAGTCCCCCGTCACATTCCAAGAAGCTTCGTCGCACAACGTAATATACCGGCGACGAATCCGCAAGTTCGTTCCCTCGGCCGGCCGATACGCGTCCCGTGTGTGTCATCCACCCTCTCTCTGTCCACTACACGTTTTCTTCCGCACCACTTCGTTTCTCCACGCACGCAAAACAAGTTCCTGTGCGTATTTACGATTTTCTTTTACGAGAAGAAGACGTGGTTGCGCGTCTGTGGACAATCGAAGCTGCGGTCCACCGTGCGACGAATATTCAGTACTCTGAATTCTAAAGGGCAAACGTAGAAACAGGCCACTTTGTTAAAAAATATTTTCCTCTTATCGAACGTAAATAGTATATTATTCCTTCGTCGTCGTTAGATGACCGATAATTTCGTTCGGTACAGAACCACAACAAGCGGCTATTTATTTTGACGCGGAAAGAAAAAACTCACGCGAACAGCGCGGCACGTATTTGGTTCTGATAGTTCGACGAGAGTGTGTCGACTGGACGACAATGAAATTTCATGCCCAGTAGACACCACCGCCGCCCCGCCGTCGCAAGCAGAGATTTCCTCGCCGGGAAAAACACGCACACACAGTTAGCCGCGTTCGTACACGAACAACAGAGAGAGACTCGCGAACCTACCGGTGAACGCTGTCTCATACGCCGAAGAATCCACTGTGCGATAATAATACGTCCGATCGCAATCGCTGATAGTAAAATCCTCCCGCACCAGGATCTCGTCTCAAGATTCCGAACATCTCCTGTATACACGCTTCCCGTCGGATTCTTTCCCTCCTCGGGTTCCTCCCTGTCGCCTTTCTATCTCTATCTTCTCCGTTTCCGCGGAAAGAAATCCTTCCGGTGCTTTCTTCCTTTCCTTTCCTTTCTTTTTTTTTTCCGTTTTGAGGCTTCGCCCTCGTCTATTGCCGAGACCGAGTTGAAATTAATTCACGCGAGCAACACCGATCAACTCAATGGCTCTTTGGAGACGTCCTAGCATCCTGGTACGGGCGTCGTTTCTTCCCATGGATCCAAACGGATGATTTCTCTGATCCAAGTTGTTTGCTCGCGTCTTGAATGTCCGTGACGAGAAGCCGTGATAGAGACGCAGAGTACGTGGCCTCTCGAAGAGACGAAAGAATATACGGAGCACTGGCTACACTTTTTTTTCTGACCTGTAATTGTTAGAACCGTTCGTAGTGTAATTTCGACCGATGTGGGCGCACAATGTGATTTCGTCGGGACTCGCTCGTCCACGGAACACGATTTCAAACGTGCACGTGCGGCAGAGTACGCAGAAACCGCAAGTTTTTTACGGACACATCCCCGACTTGTCTCCTCCTCGCCAACGCCTACACGATACACATTGCACGCAGCAACGACGCCCCTACACGCCGATGACAGTGGCTCTCAAACCGTCGCGTCATCGTCGTTCGCCGATAGATTGCGCGACGTTACGTTCGTTCGATTTTGGAAACAGGTTCTTCCCTAGATTTACCTGCCTTGTCACCAATGCGTTTCAAATTTTGCTTTACAACCGTAGTAATAATTATTGATACTTTTTACATGTATTTATGGGATAAGAAATTAGCGTTATTCTTGTAATATCCTTATTTCAATGTCTAGTACGAAAACAAAAAATTTTTTAGACAGAGTACAAAATTAGTACTAGGGAAATTGAGCACGTATAGGAAATACGATATTATTAATGTTGTTTCACTTTACGATAATTTCAGTTTGTTCTTCAAACGTAAACTGAAACGAAAATTGTAGAAAAGGTAATAAATATTTATTAACACAAAGATATTTGAAATGATAATTCATAAGCTTACACTAATTCATAAGCTTTTATAATACCGCAACAAAGATTTATTAGTTGTATGTATTCACTTCCACCATCTAGCAGCCTATAATTACACTCCTGAAAATAATAAAAATTAAGTATCGTGTATTGTTTTTAATTAAATCATTTTATACTCTTACCCCAAGTCTGTCTGCGATGAGAGCTTTCTGCTGATCTGTTAACTCGTTAGAATATATAATTTTTTCACTGAGTTGCTCAATAACCTGTAGGAATTATTTAAACATGCAATGTAAAATTTTAATAAATAATCTGTACAAATAATAATAAATAACAAAACAAAAAAGGTCACCTGAGACGTAGCATATGCTTCTAACATAAACTGATCGACAAATTCCTCTGCCTTACTATAATCTCTTGTTTTGCATACATTCATTAAATCATCCAACCATTTATCAGGAACAATCTATAATTATTTCATGTCAAATCTATAGTCATGTAATAAAGTAATATTTGTTACTTAGAAATAAAACTGTGTATTACCCCAATAATTTCAACGATATCATCAACAGTAATGTCGATACCTTTGCCTTTTAACCTTGTAATGGACTGTAAACATGTTATGGCACGTCGTAAATCTCCACCCGAAGCTTCGACAATTTTTAATAACACAACCTTTTCTGCTTTTAAGTCTTCCTCTTTACATATGTATTCTAACCTCTCAACGATTTTATCCTCTCCCAATGGCTTAAATCTGAATTTCGTACAACGAGAAGTCAAAGGTTCTATGATTCTTGATACATAATTACAAATTAAACAAAATCTGGTGCTATGTGATTCTTTTTCCATAGTACGACGGAGTGCAGCTTGTGCAGCATTAGTCATACTATCTGCCTCATCTAAGATGATAATTTTGAAAGGCGGACAACTTTTCCCACTGAAAAGGAAACATTGCTGTTGCAACAAATTCTTAATTGAATGACATAATTTTTTACATATAATAAGCCTCAGACTGTGCCTTTATCATTGAAATTACAAGAACAACATACAAGACTATTGTAAATAAATAATTGTCTGCTTTTGTTACAAACTCAAAAGGTTAAAATCCTACATTACTTTTGATAACATACAAAGCATGTTACTTTTCAGTTGGTAATAAGACTTGCAAAAACTTCATTGCAACTCCTGATTACAACTAAGTTGGTCCATATACGTAGCTCTATTGTAATTCTCAAACCTTTTACTAAACATCATTGGCTTAAAATGATATTATATGAGGAAACAAAATAATGCTAAACATACTCATCTCTCATACCACCTGCCGTAAGCTGTGCAAAAGACTTGATTTTATCTCTCACAACTTGAATACCTCTTTCATCAGAAGCATTTAATTCCAATATTCTTTCCTTGTAGAGACTACCGAATAATTGCCTAGCCGCGGCTAATATAGTACTTGTTTTGCCAGTTCCAGGTGGGCCATAAAATAACAAATTTGGAAAATCTCCACCCTTTAAACATTGTCGCAATACTTCTACTACCTCTGCTTGTTCCACAACGTCCTCTACAGTTCTTGGTCGACTGTGAAAATAATAAAATCTTACAATTTAGCGAATCAGTACAATTTAGGTTATACTAGCACGTTGTTACTATTTTTCAACCCATGGTGCTGCAGAACTGCTACGTTCTTCTTTCGAACGTGAAGTCGAAGCCTTTTTAGGATCACCAGGTCCTAATTTTCCAGTTTTTAGAAAAGCTTGCATAATTCCTTTGTATCCTGAACCTTTTGCAACAAATGAATTTTAACCAGTAAAACAGTATTTCTTCCCGCGCATTTTGCTTTCAACTATACTATACCAACGTTAGAACCAAAATTTTCTAAAACAAATTGCCCTTATTTTAACTACATATATTACAAATTTGCAATTATTTTCAACTGTATCTCCAATTATTGTCGACTTCATTAATTCCTTTGCGAATATTTATATATAAATATTTAATGTACTATATGAATCGTTGAAAATACGCATTTGAGAAAGATAAACGATCGCTCGATTATCGAATGCAAATGCTCCCCTAGTTCCAAATTTCTGTTAGATTAGCAACTACTTACATTCGTTACAAAACGAGCAAATTTACCATTTGTCCATTGTATCAATGTTGTAAATAAAGGAGAGAATTAGCTGTATTAATTAATTGCTCACATGATAGACAAAAACAAGACTCTCCTCAGGACAGTTCGATTGTAGCTGTAATACGAATTATGTGCTCGATACTATAATTCGGTTCATTGACTTTATTTTTAAATTATCGTACGGCTCCCCGTTGAAAACAGTTTAAAAAATTAGAATCAATAATTGTATCATTCACCCCGCGATCGTCGAATACGTTGAGGAAACGCGTGGAAGTTCAATTAGCGCGTAGAATGGAGTATCAGAATCGATTGTGCATGAAAAAATACTTAATTTATACTACGGATTTGATGCGGTTTAGTATAAATTAAATGAACGCCGGTCAATAGTGTATCTTTTATGTAGATGAATTTTTTTTATTTAAACATGTGATATATTTTTTCTTGGCGTTCTTTCAAGTTGTATGTAAGTTGTATAAATAATGATGTTCTGGATTGTTTCCCTGGTAGCAATCATTTTGCACTTTAGTTCTGCACAAACCAGTATGTATTTTATACATAAAGAGAATGCGCAATTTTTGGAGAAATATCACTGACTTGTATCTTTTGTTTTTACAGAACCTGAGTCGCAAGGTTTTTGTGCGCCATACAGTGGCAATGTTTGTAAGAAATATCTAACTGGAATTGGGAAAGTATGGTTCAATGATTCCAATGATAATCCCGGAGGATGGTTGAACGAACGTATTACAACTAATTTATGGGAGGAATTGATACAACGACTTGTTGAACCATGTCGTTCAGCTGCAGAGGTAATTGATATCTCAAATCAATAAAAGTATAAAAAAGTACAAAAAAAATATTATTTCAGAAAATGCTATGTATGTATGCCTTTCCGCGGTGCCACAACTCGGTTGGTCTACCATTATGTTATGAAGACTGTATGGCAGTACGTCATCAATTCTGTTTCAATGACTGGGCAATGATAGAGGACAACAAACAGAGAGACATCTTTATCAGATCAAGAGGACATTTCACATTACCAGATTGTGAATCATTGCCAAAAATAATTAAAGGAAAAATGACCTGTTCTCACATTCATTTGACCGATATGAATGAAGAACTTGTCACATGTAAAACAAACTTCCAAAATGCTTCGAGTGACTGTCAAACATTTGTATCTTCCACTTTTTAATCTTTGTATTATTTCAGATGACTGTGTCAAAGGCAATGGTAGATTTTACATGGGAAAAGTAAATAAAACGAAACTAGGTTTGGATTGTCAATCATGGAATGCACAAATACCACATAGTCATGATAGACCACCAGATGTCTTCCCTCAAATTCGTTTTGGAGAAAATTATTGTAGAAATGCAGGTGGAGATGAACCAATGCCATGGTGTTTCACCATGGATCCTAATATTAGATGGCAACATTGTGATATTCCTATATGCGGTATGCATTTAATGTTTTATGCAATAAGATATAAATAATTATATACATCTTTCTCAATTCCAATCATTTTATGCATTATTTTAATTTAACAAGTTATTTATTAATTTAAAAAAACAATTGTTTTTGATAAAAATTTAATTTAATTTTCTTTATAAAAATATCAGAAAATATAGAATTCTGCTATTAATAATTATTAAAATTTTTAAATAATTAATAAAAAAAAAATTTCTACAGCCCAAAAAACATCTGGTCCTGAAAGGGTCAATGCAGATAATGTAACAAGCAAAGTTTTGGAAATTGATCCTAAAGATTTAATAATGGATACATTATTTACTCCAATGTTTATATTGATATTGACTTCATTGGGATTTGTAATTATAGCAGGAACTTTATTATCCATTATTTTAAGTCACAAATTACATAAAAGACATCAAGGATATAACCCCACAGATAATCAGGTATGTTAAAAATTATTAATTTACATTAAATGCATTACAAAATTACGTGATTTAAGAATATAATACCCAGAAAAAATTACTGAGTCTGGTGTTCAAAATTGTTAAACTGCATATTAATAGTAGATAATGTATGTTGCCATATTTATATACATAATATATTGTCATATTTATATATAATTTTCAGTATGTCAATATTGATTTGGACAAGTTACCAAGCAACGATGCATACCATAAAACGAGCGCGCAACTTAATCCAAAATTGGAAAAATTGGAGTTTCCAAGGAATAATATCATTTACGTTCGAGATTTGGGACAGGGCGCTTTTGGCAGAGTATTCCAAGCAAAAGCGCCAGGTCTCGTTCCAGGTGAAGAATTTACCAATGTTGCTGTAAAGATGTTAAAAGAAGAAGCTTCAGACGATCTTCTGAAAGATTTTGAACGAGAAGCATGCCTTCTCGCCGAATTTGATCACCCAAATATCGTCAAATTGTTAGGTGTATGCGCCTTAGGCCGACCAATGTGTCTCCTTTTCGAGTACATGGGCCGCGGTGACTTGAATGAATTTTTACGATCTTGTTCACCAGGCAATTATATTATTCGAAGCTTAGAAAAGGACGAACATTTCACAGATTCTCGTTTATCACATATGGATTTAATTAATATTGCACTTCAAGTAGCATCAGGAATGGTGTATTTGTCGGATCGAAAATTCGTTCATCGGGATCTTGCAACGAGAAACTGTTTGATCAATGACCAAATGATTGTAAAGATAGCAGACTTTGGCTTGTCACAAAAAATCTATTTACAAGATTACTACAAAGGTGATGAACAAGATGCTATTCCAGTTAGATGGATGCCTTTAGAAAGTATATTGTACAATAAGTATACCGTCGAATCTGATGTATGGGCATTCGCGGTGTGCTTATGGGAAATATTTAGTTTTGCGCTTCAACCTTATTATGGAATGACGCATGAAGAAGTTGTAAAATATATTAAAGAAGGCAATGTGCTCCAGTGCCCTGAAAATACTCCGCCGGCGGTATATGATCTGATGAAGCTTTGTTGGAACAGAAGACCATCAGATAGGCCTACTTTCAGAACAATTTATAACACTCTTGATACTATAAAATACAATCTGGAAGCAGAAAATAAGTCGGATAGCGTACCATTGCGTATTCATGTTTGAGCCTGATAATAATTTGTCTCTGAAGAAAATTCAATTATATATTCATATAATTATAAAATAAGTGATATTTATGGAAAAGTAAAGGTAAGTAAGTGGTAAATTATACTACATGTTATACACAATTGCCTTTGTTACGTTTGTTATGTAGCCTTATTAAATGAATTAATCGAAATATTTATGAAAAATGTATTAATAATAACACATATTGGCTACTATTATGTTTGACACAAGAATGATTGCATGAATGCGTCAAGTCATATTGATAAATTGGAATCAGTCTATTTGATTTATATCTAATTCTTGTAAATATACATATACATTACTAAATCAATCTTTTTTTACAAAATGAAATATTTCAAATTGTTTCTTAATCGTATTTGCAGTTAATAGTAACACATCTTGGCTACTATTATATTTACAAAAATGATTGCATGAATGTATCAAGTCATATTAATAACTGGTTAGTCTATTTTATTTATACTCAATTCTTGTAAATATACTATATTACTAAATCAATCTTTTTTTACAAAATGAAATATTTTAAATTCTTTCTTAATCATGTTTGCATTTATTATATTTAAAATACTATTTAAAATAATTGTCATAACACTTTTTTTAGATTATGCTAAAAGTTTATTTATTAATAATTTAATTAAATCTATATCAAGACTAAAGAACTGAAGACTGGTATGTATGTAGAATACATACATGTAATTAAAGTATTATATGAGTGTTTCAAAGATTTTCCGCATATACAAATTTCGATCTTACTTGCGTTCTGCCTATTGTGATTTTATGCATTCCGTCAACGAATTTTACAATAATACAACCTGTTACTAATTGCCATTAAAAGACATCTTTATAATAGTCCAATTTAATATTAAGAATAAAACATAATATAAAGATTTCAGTGGTACTACTATAATTATGAAATGTTTATTATATAAGTAATCAGAATCTAAAACTAGATGTGTTTTTTCAAAGCAAATGATAGATTAATTTGTGTGTTGCTATTAATATCAACTTGTTTATATTTACAAAAATTAGAAGTATGCTTATAAAAAGATACAGTATTGCTGTTACTCTACTTAAAGAATTTCATAAAATTTTCTTATACAAACATAACACTGATGTTTGAAATATTTGTTTAATGTTCTATCAAAGAAAAAAACTTAGTCTGAAATGATAAAGATTCAATAATTACATAATAAGAATACTGGATCTTTGATATCATTTTCCATTTTAATATATTTATGAATGTATTTACATTTACACAAATTTTTAATGGTTGTTATTTCTATAATTACAAATGTAAAGACTGATAATGTATTTTTTAATTTTTATATTATCTATATTCATAAATAATATAAAATACACTTTTTATCTTTTATTCTACTTTTTTTTTTGATACTTTTCTATATGCAATTGAACAATATTTAGTTGTGCTAGTTTATCAGATGACTATAAACATACATATTTATATGTGTAATTATATGTATTAGCAAATATGTTTGCGATATTCTTTTTATTTCTTCAGAGCATAAATACCTCAAGGTATATCCTGAGGTATACATTATGTTACACAAAACAAATGAACTTTCCTATATATAAATATATATAAAGCAAATAGAAAAATAACAATGTTTTGCTAAAGCCTAAGACAGATAACACTATGTGAACAATTTGGCTATAAAAAAATGGGTTTATATTTAGCAACGTTATATGTAAACTGTCCTTAATTGTTAGATGTTAGATCGTTGCTGTACCAAAAAACATAGCCTGTTTAATGTACGAAAAATAATATTAAAAGCTATTATGACAAATGTTATAGTAAAAAGATAAAAAACATTAAGTGAGTGTATACTGTGCAACTGTTACACATAAGGTATGAAAGTAACTCATTATTGTGCTGTATTTAAATGAATGTTTTACTTGTAACATAGAATTAGTTATATATTATTTGTTCTATACGTATACAATATTATTAAGTGCAAAAAATTATCGTAAATAGAGCAGAATTCAGTTCGAAATTCTTTAATAACTTATTTTTACTACAGTTTTTGTGATATAATTTAATCTCTCTCAATTGATATTATAATTGTTTAACACTATTGTTTATCACTACATTTGCATTCCAATAGATATATCACTCATCAGTATTTTCATAAGGATCTATATATGTTGCAAAGAGCATATTCATTTGTGAATGTTCCATCCTGTGCTTAAGTACATAGATATGTATGTGTAACTAATGAATGTCATTGTCCAATTGATTTGTAAAGATAATTAATTGACTCATTTGGTTGAGCATTAACAAATACGATATACCATATGCAGAAAGTGTGAATGCAATGTTCAAATGCTCTTCCAGAAATCTTTTGATATAGAACTTTTATATTGTGAAGAAAAGATAAAAAAAAAAAACTTTTACCAAGTCTGTGCTCTTACATCTGTGTATTTGTATCCTGTATAAGTAGAGTTGTACGTGATATAATATTACGATAATGCGTACACGATACGTATTGTCTACGACCAAGAAACTTCTGGTATTATATACTTCGTTGAGTTCAGATGTGTTATTGACAATGGTAAACTCTATTCTGAATTTTATGTACAACAAACTAAATCTAATCTGTAAAAACATCGAGATTCCTCGATATTCTATTTTAAACTTTTAATAAAATTCATACACATGGAGGAAATGATCGAAAGTTGCTTACTTTATTGTAAAAAAAAAAAGTCATTTAACTAAGGAGCTAGTAAAGATTGCGCACTTTATTACTACGAATATTGAGGAATTATCGATGAAATACTACGAACATGTTGAAAAAAAACTGCTATGAAACTTTTACTGATGTACAACTTTTACAAGGAATAAACAACCAATTTCATATATTCCATAGTTTCTTTTCTTTATTTCTATGAAGAATGAAACATCAGGATAATGAATTACAAAATCAAGTACATTGCTCCATAAATATATTTTCGCATATTTTTTTCAATAAACTCACGCCAAATCATTATTATGTATATAAAAAGCAGATATTTATATTGTATAATACATTAACATTTTTAAAACTACCTTATACGTGAAATATCTCATGTAGGCGATACAATAGTGTATATCTGCATATATGCATATCCAGTAAATTTCTACTTGAAAACATATGTTCCATATATAAGATGCATATTTCGAAATTTATACGTTTTCCTTATAAAATAATATTCATAAAATTAGAAATAATAATTTGTTGCTATAGAAAAACATGATATGACGCTTCTTTTTTCAACTAGTTATACTACAAAAAATACTTTTTTCTTTATAATTAACTAAACATTTACACTATATATAAATCAATTATAAAATTCTATAAAATGCAACAGAGATAAAATATTGACAATATATTGCAACATCGAAGTACATCGTTATTAGATGTAGTTACCGCTTCACGGATATATCACTATAAAATTATGTATCTATTAACTGTAACGTGTAAAATGATACTAAAATTAAAAAGAAATCAGAGAAATAACTTATTGCAATTATAGAGTGCTAAAAACAATTTTTGGTTTTCATAAATATTAATTCTTAATGTGAAGTAACATGACTTCGTTTACCTTTTGTGATAAAATTTAGTATTAAGATCTTAAGTTTAATCATAGTGAAAACCACGTTCTTCAATTTTATAAATTCGTTTTAAATTTACGAGATTATTTTTTAATTTATGTAAACAAAAGTTCTAGTATTTTAAATTTACTAATTTACCAAGAATGTGCAATGTCTAAAAATGCAGTTCAAAAGAACTAAATAATATGTAAATATATTTCAGTCCATATTATATCAGGCAGAATTATATTATAACCTGTACTGCATTTTATATCATAAGATCGTCATTGATAGTTTTTCATGCATCATGCGATCACTTTTTTCTCTTTACGTGCATTAAAATATTTTATACTTTCAAAATAAACTAATTAAAAACCTAAATTTGAAAAATTTAAGTCTAAAATACTGATACTTTAAGTCACTACATCTATATTATTGCATGATAAAACTCGTTTAATAAATAAAAAGTTATTGTTCAAAAAATGACGAAGGAATATTTTTTGCAAGTTAATACTTGAAAATTATAAAAAAATAATATACTATTATGATGTCAATGTAAAGTTAAAATACATCGTTTGTTATTTATGTAATTGCAGTATTTGGTATTTTGTCTTGTTTGCTACAAGTACCTGTATCTCCTTGTACATATGATCATTTTTTGCAATCAAAATGCGTCTTTTATATTCTGAAATTGTCGTACCGCCAAGTCAACTGGTAAATCAAATCTATAGTTGGTAAGACGATCAAGAGTATGGAATGCATCTTGGAAACCTGTTTGTAGCAATAACACGTAAATATTACAACCACAGATAATTAATATTTTGTTAATATTTTATTTTAATACTTTAATTACCTGTTTTTACGACATAACTCCACGATGTATAATGATTTTCAAGAAGATACTGACATTGCAAGATAAGTCTTAACCAAACAACAAGTTTATTAGCACTATAAAAAAAAACATGAATTTCAAATCTTCGTTTTCACGATAAAATCTGTAATAATGTTTACTCACTTGAGTGATGCACATATAAATGCTTTAAAGTGAGAATCATAACTCCTTTTGTATGGACTATGTGATGCAATGATATTTCCAATTGTAGTTAATAAACTCTGAAAATTGTTCAATATCTTTAAAGAGACAAATTCGATTAGTAAAGGAAATTACCAGCTGTTAATGGTTACCTGTTTAGAAGAAACAACCCTCCCACCTGCTAGATCAAGATTGAAACTTTGGGATAACTTTTGTGCCGGACTAGAATTGTAACGGTGACCATTTTTAATTTCATAATACTTCAATATCAGTTCCCATGCATGCATTAAATTAGAAGTAGAAGAATTTCTTTGAGGAAAACATCCTACGAATGGTACAACACTACTGGAACGCGCATCAGACATTAAACCGTGTTGTATTAAATCACGTATGGAAGTTGCTAGATGCTTCCTTACAGCAGTTGTTATTCTAGCATTGCAATGTGACATAGAATCTGAATCTGAGGCATAATCGTTTTCATTAGCAATATCATCATCTTCTGGGTGACGCTCAGTTTCAGCAATAGTTTCTATAACATGTTCGACAGCAATGTCCAATCTTGTTCGTAAATCGCGCCAATTATGTACAGATTTTTTTTTAAAGTTTCTTCGAACTCGTTCACTACCACACCCTAACTGAGATACTAGGAACATATGCAATAGAGCTACGACCTTTTTTACAGTGTTCAAAGTTTTCGTCCTATTTTCCTCCTCTGTTTTTCTATTGTACGACTTTTTAGCATATGAAGTAGAACCAGCAGAACCACTCGTATGCACTGGACACGCACAGGTGCAAGCTAAAGTTTCTGTACTGACTTCTCCTTGAAGATAATTTATAAAACGCTCCAAATCTGCAATTTGTGTTTTCAGTTGGGATACTAACTGTTCTTTCATTTTTAAAGGGCTAACAATCTGTAAATAATTTCTTCGTTTATTTAATTTTCTTTTTAACACATTCATCTTTATTTCCTTAGTAATTTATCTTATGCAAAACAATTTACCTGACTTATAGCATAATCTACTTGCCATCTTAAGTCATCAACTGGTAATTTACAAAGATCATCAACATTGAAATTCAATTTTTCTTTTATATGGTCTGAAAAAATAATGCAAGTCTTAAGTTTCAATCGAAGAGCTGTTTATCTTAAGGATTACGGTTGAAACTTACTGATTATAATATTCTGTCTTTCTAATATCATACTTTGTGGTAAATCGGCATTACCAGTTTCATAGGCATACTTTTCTAAGTCTTCTAACTGAGATTTCAGTTGACATATTAATTCTTTTTGTTTTGTTCTTTGTAATGCCACTTTAGATTCAACATCATCATTTATTACTCCAGATATCTGTTAAATAATATACAAAGTATATGGTTTGCTACTCTTCCTTAGTTATTATACTATTCATCTTATATGTTAATATTCAGGAATTAAATAAGGAATAAAACATTGTGACATAAGATTAATAAACTTACTATATATTATAGATAACTTATACAATAATATTTATTTTCTAGTACAAAATATAAAATAATATCTCAGATCATTAAAGAAAATATATCACAGATTTATAAGCATATTTATATTTTACAAGCAAAGCAAAACAGGAATAAAATGAGTAGAGTACAAAAATAGAAAAAGAAATAAATAAAACACAGATACAGTAGATTTCTGCGTGGCTTACGCTTTGCTTGCAGGACATTGGAGAAGTTGGTGTAATTGATCTACTATCAAATGATAAATTATTTGGAACGTCTGGTATTCCTCTGAAAGCGAACTCTTCTAATTCTTTGAGCAACGTTTCCTTTTCGTTCGCTGGTGCATCCACAATTTGTCTCAAACGAAACTGAACCTATGACAATGGCATTTCAAGTGTTAAAACGTTATTTACAATAGAAAAGTGTGTGAGCTGTATTTTTAAATTTGCTCGGATACCTGGGCAAAATGAGTAGTCAACGCAATGAGAGACGAATTTAACATCTCTTGTTCTTCTTCAAGCATTTTCAGCCTCTCCATGTCGTACGATAAACTAGTGAATAAAATGTACTGTAGCATTTGCAGGATACTAATGTAAACAGCAGTATCTGTGAAAAAAAATACTTACTTCTCCACTTCGATATACTTGTACTCGTCGGGAAAATCGTCGCCATCGTTTGCACCGACGGGCGCCCATCTCTCGCCAGACGGCCTGTCGCTTTCATCCGAATTTTCGATATCCTCGTTCTCGCTACTTTTGTAATCGCCAGAGCTCATTTTCTTCTTGTTTACGATCTCGATCGCCTTCTACTCTGCATTCATGAATTTCCTTGTTGCCGGCAGTCAACACGGAAATGAACGTTTTGATATATATTGTGATTTTATTTTTCTCTTTTACTTTTTTCTTTTCAACTCGTATGTGTTAAAAATCTGCCTCTCTCACGACACATCAGAACGTGCGGTCTTCTACCTTCACCACGTTTAATCCATTAATTAACTTCTGCGCACGTGTGCGAGTGGAAACGTCATTTGCCGTTGTCGATTTTGCGCCTGTTAAGGAGCATCTTCACGGCAAAGTGTTGTAGATTTATGACGACGAACATATCTCGCATCATGTTTGACTCATGTCGCGAGGCGAATAATACCTAATAACAGTTTGCTGGATCCAGCATGCGATTTTCATCTCGCGTTTGCATCGATACATTCTCGCAAAATGTTTTTCGTTCCGTATTAATCGCGTAAAAGATCTGCCAATTAATGTTAGGAACGTAGATGGCTAAATGTTGGGACATTATGAACGAACCATTAGTTTTGTCGAAGGTTTCTCAATAAATAGTCGACTCGTATTCTTATTCGATCTTCACAGATGTGTCAAATTGTTGTATCCTCGAGAGGACGTTTTTTCGTTAATTTGTCGGATCGTGATTTGCTACTACTCCGTTGACTTTATAAAGGGATAGGACATGCAACGAGCAAACAATGAAATGTATTCATGGGAAAAGTTTTTAAAGAGAAATATCGAATAACCTACATCTCTTGACATTTATCTAAGTGTTGGCTAGCGTATCGTTACATTTCGTGAATTATTCTCGTCGACTTGAAGGGAAGAGCTTGTCGACAATTGCATCGCATATCGTGATATTCGCGATGATGCGGCAAGAAACAACTTTGACGAAGCCGGCACGTAAAAAACCGAACATTGATGCATCGATAGCCGAATGATTTTCGAGAATTCCGTAGAATAAGAATTACACAAGTTCTTATTTCATTCACGGATTTACCATTTGCCACCGATATATCGATGATCTTAAAAACTCGTTCTTGAAGTATTATAGGTAACAAGAAATTTTTTTTTATTTTATAAATTCTCTTGATCATTTTTGAGATTTTCAATGCAATCCAAAATTGCATTGTTCCAAGAAAACGTTTATTTGTAGTTATACATGAAATGGGTAGTGCTTGGTGGCAGTGCGCCGCATGTTTGAGAACACAAGAAGAAGATATTTGCGAATTGCACTTGAATAATTGTAATCTTTATGATGTACCACCCGACGTGTTCATTTATGAGAGGACACTGGAGAAATTATATCTTGATGCCAATAGAGTAAACACAAATATTAATTGATCTTTTGTGTTAATCCAAGTTTTCAGGATTCAAAGGGTATTATCACCTCTTTATTTTGTTATAGATAAAGGATCTTCCAAGGCCACTGTTTCAGTGCCATGAGTTACGAGTACTTTCTCTCAGTGACAATGAAGTCACCACGTTACCACCCGCCATAGCATCGTTAATTAACTTGGAATATCTAGACCTTAGCAAAAATAGTATGTGCATACGTGTTCTTTATATGGATTTTGTTTACAAACAACTTTTAATGATTGTTACATTTATCTTCCTTAGGTATTAAAGAGCTACCAGACAGTATAAAAGAATGTAAAAATCTTCGTTCTATAGATATCAGTGTTAACCCGTTTGAACGTTTCCCAGATGCTATTACACATATTGTTGGACTAAGAGAATTGTATATAAATGATGCATACATAGAGTATCTACCAGCAAATTTTGGAAGACTTTCAGCTTTGAAAACGTTAGAACTTAGAGAAAATAACTTGATGACATTGCCAAAGAGTATGAGCCGTTTGATAAATTTGCAAAGACTTGATATTGGTAATAATGATTTCACTGAATTGGTATGTTTATATTTGTTATGAGATTGTTATTTATCAACCTGCATATGTTAACGTTAATTTCATTTTTTTCAGCCTGAAGTTGTTGGGGATCTTATCAATCTTACCGAATTGTGGATAGATGGTAATGATATTAGACGTATACCACTTAACATTAATCAGCTTTACCGTTTAAATCATTTTGATTGTACAATGAATGCAATTCATATTATCCCGTCAGAGGTAGAAGGATGGAGAGAGATTTCAATTATGCATCTTTCGTCAAATGAGATCTATCAGTTACCAGATTCCCTTTGCTATTTACGTACAATTGTGACTCTTAAAGTTGATGACAATCAATTGAATGCACTGCCAAATGACATTGGACAAATGTCAAGCTTGGAGGAGCTTATAGTTACTAAGAACTTCCTTGAATATTTGCCATCATCAATAGGACTTTTGCGAAAATTGCATTGTTTAAATGTAGACAATAATTACTTGAGATGCCTTCCACCAGAAATTGGAAGTTGCACCGCATTATCGTTGCTGTCATTGAGATCAAACAATCTAACTCGAGTCCCGCCTGAATTGGGACATTTATCCTCGTTAAAAGTACTCAATCTTGTAAACAATTGCATCAAATTTTTGCCTGTTTCTATGTTGAATTTAAGCAATTTGAAAGCATTATGGCTGAGCGACAATCAAAGTCAACCGTTAGTGCCATTGCAGCAGGAATTCAATTGTGAAGAGGATATGATGGTGTTAAGTTGCTTCATGCTCCCACAAAAACCACGGCAAGAACTTGAGCGTAAGTATTTATATTTGTTTGACAGTACTCACATTTGAAAAGATTCTGTTCATTGTATATAATAATTCTTAAAATAGTAATTATAAAATATGATTATATATATTATTGCTGCTAGTGGATAATGAGGAAGAAGATGAAGAATGAAATGGTAAAGTATATGTGAATAAATCCACTAGTGTATATGTTATGTTATTTTTATTTAAAAATATTTCATAACCTTTATCACAAATAAGTATGTGATTATAATTCTGCATTTTTTTGCTTATAGAAATAACACCGGCTGTAGGATTAATTTCAAGTTCGATTGTTGGTACTGGAAAAAGAATATGTTTTGCTGCTGAGGTAGAATCTGAAATCCCTAGACAACTTCATCGAGCACCGACTCCCTATCCTAAAGAGCTACGCAATCTTGCCAGGCATGCCCGCAATTTACATCATCAATCAGCTCATGATCAGAGAGTATGTATAATTTGAATATTTATCCATTATTCGATTTTTTATTAATCCGACAACAAAAATTTTAAACTGATATGATATGAAACTAGCGCTGAAGAAACCTTAAATACTTTCAATATTTTCGTTGAATCTTTTCGTGTATATTTTTGTATAATCAATATCTGAATTACAAGAAAATTGGCAATTAAAACTTGCAGATGCATTTAGAACAGGAGACTATGATCAAAGAAGCTATTATTGCTACAACTATTCTGGACCTTACCTCAAAATCTGGGACCTGTTTTTCACAAAGTTTATTTAATAAGGTATAGAGAATTATGAAAGGAAGGCAATTTATTCGACTCCAGAGTTATTTATTAATAACATTAGTAATATTAAAGACGGAAATATTGTAGAAAACAAATAAACTCATGAAATCAATTACAAAAGAAAAAAATTTCAATTTTAACAAAAGTTGAACTAGTATAAAATGAAATCTGATATAGGGAAAACAATAAATCTTCCGCTAATAAAAAATTAAACTAACTAATTAAAAGCTTTTGTTCTTTAGGATTCACATTCATCATTATCACCAACTGAACATCGTACATCAAAGGCGTGCAAGAATAATACTCCTACGGATGTTGGAACAGAACAATCTGTTTCAGAAGAATCTTCCGATGAAGCAAACAAAACGGTACTTGCAAAAGAAAAAAGTCCGGATATTCGAGAAGCGAAATATATTCGTAATCCTACGTCCGAGTACCTTTCTAAGCCTCCAACAGTAGCAGATTATGTAAATTCTACTTGGAAACCGGATGAATACTCGAAGGCAAACACAGCAAAAATTGTTGAATCGGAGAAATTTATAGAACCCTACAAGACTACATCTATTGCCGCGAACAACAAGAATGCTAATCATGTTCAAGTGCCGAAAGTAAATGAAGTTCCACCCGTCCCGCCGCCGTATCATATTGCTGCCGCGTTTTCAAAAAAAGCAGCACTCTTTCAACAATTAAATCAATGTAAGTAATTCTTTTTTTTTATCGTTTCTATAATGATAATATACATACGAATTTATTTCATTATAATTGTAGCAGCCCAATTGGATTCTTCGATGATCGCTCCTCCACAAATTGATATGAACGTATCAAATCCAAAAATATCACAGGAAACACAAATACAAAATTATGATGGAGAATCATTTAAAGTCGAAGAACACTCATACAATGACAAATTTTTATCGAATAATACAACAAACATTTCAAATAACGATGAAAAAATAAGCTCTTTTAGTGGTACCGATCAAATACATGCGTTAACAGAATCGATCGATTCGACAGAACAATTATTAGAAGGAGATCGATCATTGAAACCAAGTAGAATTCCTATTTTAAAGACGAAGCATCTGGAGAACACAAATTCTATTTCAAATAGCGATCTGTCAAACAAATGCACAAACTCTTCTGTTGAAGACTACGAATCTTTAAAAATGTTGGATGCATCGTCTATACCAACATCTCCCATAACCGGAAAAAAATATCGAAGTCCGTTATCTATGCAACCTAAAGTTTCGGATCGGTCAAAAAAGATAATAAATGGAACTGTGTCGAATAACAATATCTCCTGTGATAATTTATCTATAAACCCAGTGAACTCAAGTCCAGTTGCAAATTCGAATATGGAAGGAATTTCAAGAATTTTATCTAGCGAAACGCCATTGAATATGAATATTTCATTTAACATAAAGAATGAAACTAATTCTGGTCGGAGTACTCCAATTTTACCTAATAATAAATCTTTAAATGAGATGACCAATCTTAATGTTGAGAAGTACAAAATTGCTGGACAAAATGAGTCATTAAATTCTGAAAGAAAACCAAGATTTAAATGGATGTTTGGGCCACACAAAAATGCTAACGTAGTATGTTCTCTTTTCTGTTCTTTGTTCTTTCACATAATATCTTTATGTATATTTTACAATTTTTAATTGTTATCTTTACAGTTACCTGTTCAAGTGAAAAAAAATCCAGGTCTCGGTTTCAGTATAGCCGGTGGAGTAGCAGGCGCAGAAACCGTAAGAATTCAAAATTTAAAGCAAATGTAATAAGATTTTCTGTACTTTAATCGTTAATTACATTCACTCTAGGGAATAATTGTGACTAAAGTAAATCCAGATGGTCCAGCACAAGGTACTCTTCGACCAGGAGATAAAATTTTAGAAGTAGATGGTATAGACTTCACTAAATCTGATCATAACAATGCTGTGGCTGTCCTTCGAGCAACCGGAGCAGTAGTATCTATGATGATTAGCCGTCATCAATGACATCCAATTAAAAAAGAACAATGGTTTCTTTCCTTTAGTTTTTATAACTAGTGATGAGTTTATAAACGTCACGTAAGTTTTTTTTTAGAATATATATTTTTTTAACTAATATTAGTATATGTCAACGTATTAACACGCACGAAAAAATATGGAAGTTTCATTTTGTTTTTCTGAACGCCTGTTTTCATGATAGTAAATCATATTCCTTTTGATACTATCAAGAAATTTAATGACTGAAACAGCGTTACCAAAGGTGGGAGTAATGGCATTTATTTAAGGAAAATATTTCAGGCTCCCAAGTGGTTACGATTTGTGAACTGAGCTTTTGAAAGAAAAAAACAATAACAATTTCGTGAAAGAATTCGGTTCTTAGGTTATACCATAGATTAGAAACGCGTCCCTTGCACAATTTACAATAAAAAAATGTGATGTATAAAAGAACTATTTTTAAGAGAAATTTCTTCATGAGCCAATTCACAGCTCACTTGCATTATTTGGCCACATACGTAGGTAAAATAGCAATTCTTTAGCAAACAATTATAGGATGATAAGTTTCTTCCCGAATTTCTAATTCCGTAAAAAATGCATATATTTGTGTTGTATTATGATGTTGATTGTATTTGTGTCAACTCACTTGTTCTCTTTGTAGAGAGCTGACAATGTGCCAGAAACAAAATACTATTTATTACTCATATACATTTAAAAAAATCCTATATAAAAATGAATATATATTATGCATATATATTATATACAAATAATTATCTCTATCAATTAGATGGGATTCTTACAGATACTTATTTCGTAAGATGTGAATGGTTTTTCTACAAATTTATTTTAACACATCGTTTTTACAAGCACAAAGAGTTCTACGATTAATTTACTTGTATTATTTACAGTTTATATTTAAGAAATGATATACTTTAATTTTATTTAGAAATTACATCTGTGAGAATCTTATTAATCTTATTAAAAGAAAAAGGGAAAATATTTCTCTATGTGCCGTAATTTTATTGGTAATATTTTTAATAGTTCTATCACTATCAGTTTTTTCTTTCCTTTTTAATAAAAGAATATTCATATCGAAAATATAAATTTACATTTTTCGAACGATTTTATATATTTTTGCTTGCCATTGTTTCGTGATAAGTTTGTTTTATTAAATGCTAGTAATTCTCTTATCGCAAAGTCAACTGTTAAGTGTTTGATAAAATGAGATTTATTGTTATGGTTGTGAATTATTATACTTGATTCATTCTGTGTAAAGGAACAAATGTATGTACCTTGTAGAAACTGTTTTTTAACAATAGTTATTAATGTGGCATGATGGCCAAATCGTAAGATAAAACACTACTTTTCTATGTTAGTGAAATTATATTGAAAAAAAAAAAAAATGAAAGTTATTCATGTAAATGGAGTAGAGTTGTGAGATAAATGTTTAGAAAGGTTGTATGATGACGTATAGCACAGACAAGTGAACTGTTTATGTCAAGATATGAGTTATAACTAGTACATTATTTGTATTCCAGAACTTTTACAAAATAACAATATCGCACTTCACTTTACCTCGCATATACAGATCAATTACTATGCACATTCTCTTGAACTATGCATTTTTTACGTATATTTTAATTAGTTTCGTCAACTATAAGGATATTTAAAAGTAATGGTTTATGCATTTTTATAAATATGTTTAAATAATGTTTATATATATTATTTGATTTTATTTATTCTTTTCTTTCTTGTATTTTTTAATGTTTTTCAAAGATATAAAATATTTTCTGGTATTCATGTTTACAGCAATTTTTTAAACAACTTAAACAGCTTAAAATGATGTTATAGTTACATGGTAGCTATATGATTACAATATATATATATATATATATATATATATATATA